TTGCCTTTCATGGAGTTCTACATCAGGCGAAATATGTTGGTTTGAAGTGGAACAGGGTGGTATTTCCGCACCACTTAATTCCGTATAAGATTATGTCGTCATGTTTGTGTCAATGATGTCGAATGTATGGCGTCGCATCTCTAAATCGTTGTTCATCGCCGAACACTCCATCCTTTTTATTCCTTATGGTGACCTTGTTTTGGCTATACAATGAATCCGTATTATTTGATAGAAACCATCGCTAATGTTTAACGTCGCTGATCGTTTTCCATCTCCGATATAGTCCCAAATGACACAGCACTTGATGAAAGGCTTTGAAACTCGTTCAGGGTCAAGTTTCTACTCTCATCCACATTCGTGTGCGTTTCCGTAATCTGACCGCTTGTCCCTGTCTCAGTGAACAATTCTCGTTTGATTGAAACGTATTCACGTTCACTGTTGTTTCGTTTGCGATTGATTTCAGGTCTACCAGGGGCAATATATGTGGCTCAAATTTTTACTTTAGAAATTGCGCCACAGCTAGTTCCTCTTTTCATTAACGATTAGACAAATAAGTAGATGAAAAGTTAATGCTTTCCTGTTGAGCTGGCAGCCATTTTAACAAATATTTCAACAGATTCTACCCTACCGATTTTCTTCGCTTAATTGTCGAAAACGAGCAGATTCGGATTCAAATTCAACTTCGTTCTTGCAAGTAGAAACTGTATCTATGAGGCACTCTCAGCGTGTACAGTAGCTAGCGCTCCGTGTCAAATATTTCTTAACGTTTCGTTTTATCTACTTAGATGGGATAATCGAGCAGCTTTCTTTTCTTTCAATTCTGCCTCAGATTTATAGAGTTGGTTTGTTGTGTATTTCCGTGGATTGAAAGTGATTTTTCTTGTACGATTCCTACCCACTACATGTCTCCAGCAAGTTCACCAACGCTCTGTTCGTAGATTCTGATTCTAATGATGGCGATCCTGTGGTACAACAGAAATTGCTCTCCGTCTTTGCTTCGCAATTATCACAAATAAACTTTTTCAATGCTGGCCAGAGGTCTAGTCGAACGGAACAGAACTCAGAGCTTATTAACTACTGTAGATCTCGTTCTTAATACCTCTTACCAAACTCTTATATTGTATTTAATTAAAACAAATAGACTCAGGTTCATGCTAAGACTTCTCAGGGAACTGAGAATATCCTCTTCAATAACGATTTCCAATTTTTTCCATAATGTTAATTTTTTCCTTAATATTCGGTCTTCACGTTGACTCAAGCATCGATAGAGTAAAAGGTTGCTCAGAGAAACTAAAACAAGGGTTTCGATCGATGTGGTGGATAGCAGGCGAACCCCAGGTAGGAGGGGTAGTCACTAATTGAAAGCCCACATGATGTTTCAAGATTTGATCATATCTCAGCATCTTTGTGGTTGTACTTCACATTATATCCCTCGATGAAAAAAGAATAAGCAGTAAATAAATCATGAGGCATTGCGTCCTATATAAAGTCGGTCTTCTTCAGTAATCTATAAATCATTCAATGCTTATAGGGTCAGTGGTAATGAGTAGACTATTCTTCCTAATCAACACTATTCTTTTGCCCTTCGCCGTTGTTGACACTGCTAAGAAGTGTCGACCGAAGGTATGAAATCTATGTTTTCCTTTCTTAGAGCACAAAAATATATTCTTTAAACTACGTTTGCAACTGCTTTAATCTTCGTATTACTCTTGTGGGTTACGACGAACTTGTTACCCTCTATTTCGCCCATGGGCTCCATAGTGAGCTCTGTTGCTTCAACTGAGAGAATACTAGAGTTTTCCTGCAATATCTTTTTCTATTACTGTTTCTGCAGTCAGATTAGTTCGGTTTTTATTGTTAAATTACTACAATCTTCTGATAATTTTAATTTGTTATTTATTGCCTAGTCTTTTTAACGGCAAGGTATATATTGCGAAGTATAACTTTAATGATGCTGAGATATTTGCAAAACTCCGGACCGCTCGGTTAACTAGGTTCGCTGCCGATTTGGGCTCCCCAGATCAATCCCGCTGACGGGTGATTGCTCATGGCAAAAGATCGATAGAACAAGGTGAGATACCGGCGAAACGAAGGACCTGCATAGTGTGGTGGTGAACGCGTTTACTCCCGGAAAGGACAATAGCGCGTTCGTTCCCCACCGCAGACACCTGCGGTCCAGAATTTTGCAAATATCTCAGCACCATTAAAGTTAATCTTTTGATATATTCGTAAAAGTTTTGTAGAATTGAGCGATTATCCTCAAATACTCGTTCGGGGCTCAACACGCAATCCAGATCTATTGTGTGTACGACCTAAATCAAATCTATTCATAAGATGAGCGATTACGATGGATTTAAAGCAAAATCCTGTAGGACTCGGGCGAGAGTTTTGATTACTGCCAATAGTCCTGTCACCTACACAACTTTTCAATCCCTTTAATCATCAACTCACTCGGGAGAGTGAAAATTAGATCGGTAAATTCGCCATTCATCTTTGTCTAGCATCACAGCTACCACTCAATAAAGCCATGCGAGCAGCGTAACACTTTTAGTATGATGCAGTTTGTTTCACTGTCTTTAAATGAGAAGAAGGCCACCGGTGGTGGAGAGAAGGGGGATCGCAAAGTAACCAGTGACACAGTTCGATCACTTTCCAACACACGTCTCCCTCAGACCGCGTGGGAGCTCTCCAGCTCGGAATTTCAAGGATAATCGACTCCACCAGAATCCTACTACATTCATAAAGGAGGCGAAATCATCAAACAGCAGTCAAAACGACAAGCGAGACAAGTGATGAGATCCTCACGGTGCATGTAATGAGACTCTTGCAAGCCAATAAGATGCGAATTTTTTCTGTTCAGTTAAGCCAATCTTGCGTGATTGAAATTCTTGCCGAGCACCAGTTATTGGAAACGCTATTACCAAAATGAGGAACTAGATAATCACTAAGGAAGCAGAGAATAACGATGTATTAAAATAAAAAACGTTAACTTTCTTGTACGACCTGTCTTTGACATCTACTGTGTGGATCCCACCACTTCTTAATTTCGATTCGTTTTCTCACATCCATCATCCACGACGGTCTTCGAACTTTTTACGTGTGGCTTCAGCTGTTGGTTGAGGATTTTGCTTTCAGTTTGAATGTCGTCGAATTCTGGTCGAGGCGACTCTCACTGGAGTCTTGAGATAGCCGTTTTAAAGCGTTCGCACTTGGATTTCAGAGCGCGATTTTTTCCCGGACAAGTCCGACACAAATTTCCTGACAACGGAGGGATAGGAGATTTAGTGAACCTAGAACGGGTTCGAATATGGACCGTACTCGTGATGACTGACATCACTACCACGGTGCTATCAGCCGACTTTGAGCAGTGGCGATAACGTGACCAATGAAGCTCTTCCCAAATGCACTTGTTATTTATTGGTTGAAAACTTTTCCTAATTGTCTGCAATCGCCATTGAATGATGGGAGTGGTACGTAATTTTTAGACGCCTCAAGAACGATGGGAAAAAGAAGGAAAAATGTTAAAATGAAAAGTAAATCGCTTCACTTCACAAAGGAAAAGTAAATAAAACGCCATAATATAGTTACTTGAATGGTCCGTCCTCACTGCTTGTGCAGAGCTCAGCACAATCTCCATTTTTCGGAAATTTGCTGATTTCGCCATTGTGGTCCATTTAGCCATTCAGCCGTGGAATCCCGAGGTCAGCTTGGCCAAAGTCTGCCTCAGGTCTTCACCGCCACAGACAGTCGCAGCCCTCGTGGATCAGAGAAAGATTTGCCAGAATGCGACTAGGTTAACACCAAAACAGTGATGGATCTTGCATTGGTTTACACGGAGCTGGGTACCCATAGGTTCCATTGTTGTTGAAAGTTTAAGAAATTCTTCCTATTCAAATGAAGAGGTCGGAAATTTATCGTGTCTAAAGCTTTCCAGTGCTCATTACATCTTTTGAAATCTTAGACACAGTTAGTAAAAAAGGTGCTCCAAAAATTATTGCTGGAAAACCTTAAAAATCTATTTTCTTGTAAAAATAAAGAAAAAATTTTAGGCTTTGTCGGCGCCAAACCTGGAAGGTAATAGCATTGATTTTTCGCCAAGTTCCACAAAAAGGACGATCAGGTATGATTTCGAAAAATAGGGTAAAATGGAGTTGATTTCCTTCTGATACAGAATCATCTGAATGCTTTAGTCTAAACCTTCATGAAATTATGTGCAAATTGCTTATTTGATACTTGATTGACCCATCTGGTTGTGCGAACCCCAGCATAATTTCCACTTTTTCGGAGATTTGCTGGTTAAGCCATTGTAATTCTCTTGAGCCCCAAGATCAGCCAGGCCAAAGTCTGCTCCACGTCGTCACTACCACAGGTACGCGCCGCACTTGTGAATCAGAGAAAGATTAGCGAGCATGCGACTAGTTTGATATCAAGACAGTGGTGGATCCCAGTATTCGTTTGCTCGGAGCTGGGTTTCCTGATGGAAGCGTCGGACTCCTTCCCACCTTGGAGGATCCTGTCAGCCTCGTTGAACATCGCAGCCCGACACCCAGAAACACCTCTCAGCTACGATGAGGCGGTAAACCGTTGTGGAAATTAAAGCTCAGACTTAATAGCAGTGGGTTTGAAATCACTACCTCTTGCTAGCACACTTTTAGTGCAGTAGGTGCAGTAGTGAGAGGTGTCCTGTCATACACACATCAGAGTTTAGCATAATGTTGGACAGGAGATAATTAGTAATGCACCGAAACAGTGTCCGTTGACGTATCTAACCATTTCTATTGATAAAGGAGAAACCAAGCTACCCAATGAAGTACGACGATCCAGAGATCATTTGTTAACAAATTACCTAAAAATGCATATATATAACTATGCTCGTGTGACTTAGTGGTTAGAGGTGCCTTGCAATGCATGAGCTATGATTAGTTCTTCCCTACTCAACGTGCTAACCATAACCCCCATCCCATAGAGGTCGGTAAATTAGTAGCAGACGTGCAAAAGAAGACGCTGACACGATATATTGGTAGGTCTCTGAAAGTAATTGTATAGATGTACGAAAAACTTAAAACGTTGACACGATACCCTGGTTGTTTTGTGCCTGGATTCGGCTGCTACGTGAAGAGTTTTTCGCTTTCACGAATAACGCTGAATGATGATGGAGCCGATTCTACCTGAAAGCTTCAAGTCCAGAAGTAATTGTACGAGTCGAATTTGCATCCAATCAGCACTAAGGTGCTACGAATAAAGTCAAATAACGGCCACACCTTAGCAATTCATGAATGCTGTGTGCTTTATACTTTTATCTTTCATCTACGTATGCATGATGTTGGACAGGAGATCCGTAATTACAGTATCCGTAATTACAGTTCCAGCATATGTTTTTCAGAAAACCAATACAAAATGTGTATTTTTGGCCGTCGTTGAGCGAATACGAACGACTAGTTCTCAGAGATGCCTTCTTCCAAATTGGTCGACGCACTTGCGTGAAATTCGTCGAGCAAGTAAGGGTTATATGCTTGAAAGATCTAATCTCTTCTAATAATCAACAGACAGAATATGAAGACATCATTAATTATGCCAGCTTTCGCAATGAATAAGATTCTACCCAGATTTTATATTTTTGCTAAAAACTGAAGGTATAAATTAAACAAGCACTAAAATGAATAGAATTAACTACTAAGGTGTCAGGACTAATTTGTTCCATACATTGTCCCTTAGTGAAAAAATTAGCGCTAAAACCTGTTAAGCTCAAGAAGTGCAGGATGTATAAAAACTTACCACTAAGGTTTTTTCCTTTGTGCACCAAACTTTTTTCCGAAAAAAGTGCAGTTTTCACACATTGCTTTTTTTTGCTGAGAGCACAGGAACTGAACGTGAAACTAATTCGAGTGAATATTATAAGCCCAGAAGGCAAAAATCATTACGAATCCGCTTGTACTTAGAGGTCATGGAAATCTAAAAATTTCTTAGCAACGCTGACAAAAAACAGCAAAAATTTGTTTTTTTTCTCAACGAGTCAATAATTTTCATAAAAGTGTCAGTTCTCCGCCAGGAATACAAGCCATGGTTCCATGCTGATCGTTGGGATGCAACGAAACCGTACGTCATCATTCGTAAAAGCGAAAAATATGCAGGTATGTAAGAATTGACCATGACACCCGAGATGAATTATGTGCTATGCATGCGTGGAGTGCAAAGTGGACGAGGTGCATTGTTAGATCCATTTCCTTTTTAGTGATTTATTTTTTTTTCGTACATCATATGACAGGGTTGAATGATGCACTGTAGTAAAGAGCAACATGTATACCATGCACTCCCTGAAGTGTCAGGGTAAACCTCCTTCCATAGTCATCCCGTCATGTTCACAGTTCCAAAAATCACCTTTCTATGGAGAAATAATCTTCTATTTTCGAGAAAGCGAACAGATCCATGGAATCTTCCCACAATGCACTCATAGAGATTTGAGTAATCGGTGTTATTTGCTGCTTACCTGAGTACTTGGATAGCCCGTCTTCTCTGGTCGTGCCGCTCCCATCATAATTTCTACTTTTCTTTTCGGAGGTTTGCTGGTTTGGTTATTCTGTTTGCCTGGACTTCCGAGGTTGGCCTGACCAAAGTTTCGCAGACAATCGCCGCCCTAGTAAACCATAGGGCTCTTAGCTAGGCTTCCTAATGAAAACCATGAAGCCCTCAACTTGGGAGGGCCTGTGAGGAAGATGAATCCGCCCGCTGTGCATCGCAGCCCGGCACCCAAGAACACTTATCACCCACGATGAGGTGGTAAATCTAATCGTTGGAACTATGTGCTACCAATGCTATCTATTTAAGGAAAAGTACAAGCATTTGCAAAAACAGCAGGTAAAGCATAGAAATTTTTCCACCGGAACAATTGTAAGTGTGAGGAGAAGCAGGAACGTTAAGATAGTACTTAATGATAGCCTTCGAAGGTTATGGATTGGAAAGAAACAAAATAATGGAGATTAAAGATCGTTGAAAAAAGGAAGAAAAAGGTGTAATAACATCGATGTTCTATGAATGTGTCGTTTTCTTGTTCAGCAATCGCGACGTTTTTAAACAGCGTACATTTACTTCCATAGAGAAACACAATACAATACAACGCTAGCTGACGTTTCGGCAGAATCGCCTTCTTCGGAGCCTGGAAGGGTATATTGATATACAATCTACTAGGCTAAACGCTTCAATGACACTTAAAAAAAGACAAAAAAACTCTTTGGTGATTATATGATCAACAGCTTCTCAAGAAACTCACAGCTTTCTACGTGACTTCCAATTAGGAAGTTTAGAACAGCTAAGTATAGTCGCATATGGTTGATGACTGCACCATCCCACATCAGAAATTGATGCGAATATACGGGGTCAGGTCGCGTATGACCTCTGGGAATCCCTTCCTTCTATTCATTGTAGAGTTTTTGGCATTGATCCAAAAAGCCTCATAGAGTTTTCGCGCTGGTGTTTTAGTCTCCTGTGCAAGGGTATTGACTTTTACTTCAAAATCGTCTCCGCTATGCTTTTGTATCCCATGCGTGCCTAGTGGGGTGCTTCGTCTTAGTTTTCGTTTGCCATCTAGGTGTTCCTTTATACGAATACACAAAGGTCTGCCCGTTTCGCCAATATATTCCTCTCCGCAACTATTACAAGAGATCAGGTATATCGTACCTGAACTCATGCAATCACCGTCCCTGCCTTAAGGGCAAATTACGCAATTTGTTGTTTCACACAGACGATCACACAGGCGGTTGCGAACTAATTGGAGTCCAAAACACCAGCGCGAAAACTCCTTGAGGCTTTTTGGATCAATGCCAAAAACCCTACAATGAATAGCAGGGATGAATGCCCGGAGGTCATACGCGACCTGACCCCGTGTGTTCGCATCGATTTCTGATGTGGGATGGTGCAGTCGTCAACCACATGCGACTATAATCAGCTGTTCTAAACTTCCTCATTGGAAATCACTAAAAAGCGGTGAGTTTTTTCGAGAAGCTGNCAAAACACCAGCGCGAAAACTCCTTGAGGCTTTTTGGATCAATGCCAAAAACCCTACAATGAATAGCAGGGATGAATGCCCGGAGGTCATACGCGACCTGACCCCGTGTGTTCGCATCGATTTCTGATGTGGGATGGTGCAGTCGTCAACCACATGCGACTATAATCAGCTGTTCTAAACTTCCTCATTGGAAATCACTAAAAAGCGGTGAGTTTTTTCGAGAAGCTGTTGATCATGTGTTGATCACCAAAGAGTTTTTCGTCTTTTTGTAAGTGTCATTGAAGCGTTTGGCCTAGTAGATTGTATATCAGCATTCGAGAAGATGGCTCACTGAGGAAGGTCTGGCTCGACACGAAGGCGAAGACGCAACGTCGAGACGAACAACAAGCATGGACCATCGACTCGGATCACCGGCTCTGAGGAAGACGAAGACGTCGAAACCTTAGCCGAAAATAGATATATTTATCAACCTCGTGCAAGCTTATCAAGAAAGAATACATATTGATTAGTCACACCGAGGTTTAGGGAAGGTCGGTTTCGAAATATCAGCATACCCTTCCAGGCTCTGAAGAAGGCAATACTGCCGAAACGTCAGCTAGCGTTGTATTGTATTGTGTTTCTCTATGGAAGTAAATGTATGCTGTCTAAAAACCTCGCGATTGCTGAACAAGAAAACGACACATTCATATTCCATTGCCGAGGTTAATAGAAAGTCGATCCTGGGAACTATCATTGTTCTATAAAATTATTTCAAATATTTTGTTACGAAATATTTCTATGTTTCTCATGCCCGCCCATTCCACATGATAACAATTGTTTATTATTATTTTTCCTTTATTCATCTTACATAACCCGTCACATCTACTTTGCGGATCCTAGCAATTCTTGCGTTCGATTCGTTTTTCTCGCATTCGACATCCACAATGGTCTACGAACTTTCCGTGTGTTGTTTTGGTTGCTGCTTAGCGAATTTTGCCTTCACAACTCAAAAGACCGACTTTCTATAAACCTCGGTATAAATAGCTATTTTTATCGATCTTTGTCACAGCAATCACCCGTCAGCGGGATTGATCTGGGGCGCCCAAATCGGCATAGAACCCAGTTAAGCTGCGGCTGTAGTTGAAATCACAATGTTATACCTTTTTATTTTCTGCCTACTATAATTTCGCGGCAGGGTACTAAGCGAGACTCCTGCGGTCCAGTGTTTTGCAAATATCTCAGCAACGTTGTGGTTGTATTTCGCTTAGAACCCTGCCGCGAAATTATAGTAGGCAGAAAATAAAAAGGTGTAACATTGTGATATATCAATTGTTTTATATGTAGTAAATAAATTTCGTTTCCTCTATGAATGCTGGAGAATGTAGGTTGAATCGATTCTCCTTACAATCTCGGAGATGGAGGAGTAAAGGCGTTCCCACGTGGATTGGAGGAGAGCGTTGGTGCAAGAATCGGACTAGAACCTTTCACTACTGGTCAACGACTTCACTAATCAACGCGCTATCACCGCTTTAATGATTTATTATAGCGATTAGAATACGATTCAATGGCGTGTACGTGAAAAAATTTTTTGTACACATTCAAAGTACAGAATAAGCCTTTCTTGGTGGACACATGCCATAAAATATATTTTGCATATTAACATATATTTGATAACATTATCGATGGAGTACAAGAGGTGCTGGAAATGGGTTCTGTGCGCCACAATAAATCACAAGAAAACTGACAACTATAGAGATCATAAGGAACACAATGTTCTTTTACCCAAGTCTCGTATAAATTTAGCAATGTTGCGGATGCTTCGAAAGTTTACGATTGTGGAGGTGCAGAACTACGATGCTTGAGAGAGTCATGAATCTTTGAAAGTTTGCAAAACTTTGACTACAAATTCATTCGTTGTTCCTTTTTGGCAATCCCAGTGCTTGAATTGAGATTTCGCCTAATCATTCCTAAAAGAAAAGGGCCGAAAAAGAGTAATTAAATGAATTTAATAACATTTTAGTGGAAGATATGTCTAATGCGCCATGTTTCTTCGAGTTTTTTTTTGTCATTTTTCAGCTTATTCCAGTAACACAGTTGAAGACACGGCTGAGCGAACTATTCTTTACATTTCTGAAAACGCATTCTACATGGATACATTTAATCACTCACGTGGAGCCATCATGGATCAGTTAGTACGCTTTCTAGGTACGTTCATTCGTTTATTTATTCATTTGCTTGTTAACATAGTTGCTTGTTTTTTCTATGGCTGCATTTCGCACATTGTGTTGAATCCTAATAATCTTTTCGTTTGAATCGTCTCCTCTCATTCTCGATGTACATCGGACTTGCGTGCGGGCTCGACTGTTCCTCGGGCATACTCGGTTTTCTTTACGATTGTCGTTCAATGCTAGTGGAAGACAGCACTTTTATAAAGAACTAATTCAGGAGTGTAGATCCGACGAATCCGTTGTATCGTCTATTTAAACGTTTCTTTAGCACAGAGTGCTTATAATACCTTTGAACTTTATAAATTATCATTGCTTTTAGAAACATTATGACAAGTTAACAAACGCTTCAGAATCTAATGTAGCATAATTAATTTAATAGGTATGAAGAAGGAGATCTATCGCCCAGATGCAGCTTCTTATATACAACCTATTAGGTGAGTGGTTTGATTTCGATCTCTTAATATTTAACATTTAACCTGCTTTTCTTAATCTCTGATCTTTCTGAAGTTTTACAGCACTTTTACAAATTTATCCCACCAGTGCAATATTCTAGAGATTCACCTACAAACACTTCTTTAGTCCTGTGCCACTGATTCGCCAGCCAGTTTATCAAGCTGCTCAACTCATGTGGCCTTTCGATCCGGAAAGCGTTACCGTACCACTTTGGGCTAGGGATAAGTTCGTTTAAAACTTCAACCCTTTTTCACTTGTTTTTCCTTCATTTCTCAAAAACTTCTTTTATAGAGTTCGATGTAACGCAGTAGTAAGTTTCCTTCATAGGTGACATCTGTCGTAGCATGACTGCAAGAGTATATTCTGATAACATGAGCAGCATTATCAGCAATGCAGAAAAACGAATCCAATTCAGAAAGTTAATTTAGCTATCGGTATCACTAATTTTAATCTACCCACTAACTCCCACGTCCGACTTTCTATTAACCTCGGCATTGATTGAACAATTCTTTCCACTTCTGTTCAGCAAACACGAGGTGCTATTCCACTTACCCACTCACGTAAAAGCTGACGTTTCGGCTGATTTCGCCTTCCTCAGAACCGCTTTCTACGAGTCTTCCACTGAGTATGTCGTGTAAAGACCAACCGCACAGAATTCACATGGAAGCGTTATGTGTAATGAATACGCTACATTACACATTACGCTTCCATGTGAATTCTGTGCGGTTGGTCTTTACACGACATACTCAGTGGAAGACTCGTAGAAAGCGGTTCTGAGGAAGGCGAAATCCACCGAAACGTCAGTTTTACGTGAGTGGATAAGTGGAATAGCACCTCATGTTTGCTGAACAGAAGTGGGAAGAATTGTTCTACCCACTAATTCTTCAACGCTAGTCTGCAATCTTTCTAGGTATCGTCTCACCCAATATTGTCCGGCCAGGAATGATGCGGATATCGGTGCAGGACAAAGAGTCGGCCTTCTAACCAAGTTAGCACTTAGCATGCATTTGACTTCTTTTCTACCACTTGAGAGGTGACCAATCTATATTCGCTTTAAGTTCTTCTTGCCAAAAGGGCACTTATATCAGTGCAGGCTGCGTCAATACAAAAAAATATATTAGCTTCGCCTTATCTAAATGGAAATCTACCCGCTTATAAGTTTATAGCATAAATCATGGCAATATGGAATGTTCTTAACTAAGTAAATCAGGGAACAAACATTTGATTTGGCAAAGTAAGAAACACGTTTGGAAAGAAGCATGCGAAAATGGCGGGAAAATTGAAAGCTTTGTTTTCGAGGCATCATCTTCACACTGTCATTGAACTTTTAAGTAGTTAGTTAAATTATAATATAGATATAATATGCCATGATTGAAGAGGTTCTTTCTATTCTTTTTTCCGAAGGTGACTCGACACTTCAGATCATCTCTATGATCTATGCTGAAGACGCAGGGTCTAAGCCTTCGGGGTGTGCATAAGGAGGAGAAATCATGGACTTGAAACCATTGGCACAGAGCTGATTGTTATTTGTCTTCTTCACTAGATTCTTGATGTGTTTGCAAGGTCGCCAAGCTGGTTGTTGCTTTCTGCCCACCTTATAAGAGTGGGAAATTCATCATGTTGATTTTTCGATGCAGATAGACATAGCAAATGGATTCATAGACGTTCATTGTTCCACTGAGTGTGAATGAAGCACAAAGGAAAATGAATTCGTTTCTTCAGGACAAAATTTATATGGTTTGTTTTGGTGGTTGAAAAACGAAGTTGATGATCACTCTGCCCACGTTTTGCTTTCCGATTTTCAAGCTTCATTGGATTCTAAGCCTTTATCCATTCTGCGGATCGATGTCACCCTGTGTTAAGAAATCGACTTGTATCGATGGAACTTCGATTTCGTCTTCTTTCGTGGTTTTGTTTGTACATAATGCCCATTCTGATTTAAAATAGCAGGGACTTGTAAAAGCTTTGCCGTACACTAGTTTAAATCAGATACTCTCGCCTTGTGGTAGAAACGATTTTTCCCATTCGATGAATAAAAATATAGAAGTCGCTTCCGTTTTCAGATGGGACACGGTCAAACTGAACACGATGTACTGTCCAGAACGGGTTCACGCCGATCCACAACGTGGTCCATGTGTTGTGCCCCGACAAAAAGACATCGAGGAATTCAAGTACCGTGTTTGGGCCTATAAACGACTGCTGAATAGAAACTGAGCTGAAAGAATTCATCAATATTTTTATAAGCCATGACATGTAAGTGAGCTAAACAAAGGGTCAGAATTGATTCTTTCGTGGTTTGTTTCTTTGGTGTTCTGCTCTCCCAGAGTTCTTTAGGAAGCTATCTAAGTCGTCCGTTTTCCTGTAGAAGCTAGGAATTGTAAAAGATTCCGGAGAATATAATGCAGAAAACTTTATGATTTACGGTTTCATTTACTCGGCTTTTAAGGATTGCTGTGCAATTTTCTTAAACAAGGCGAGACATTCGTTGTAATTGCAATGACAACATGAAATTCTTGTCTTCATTGTCGGACACTATGGTGTTATTAATAAATATACTTTCGTTAATTCCTAGTTGAACTACACCATTTCCAAAATATGAAACTTTAAGTTTCTTTTGTTGAAGTACCCATGGTATCACTTGAGTTTTAACAAAAGTCCTAGAAGAAAGATGTGACATTCAGCTAGTTTTAAGCGATGAGAACCGACTGGGCTACATGCAACGGAAATAAATGCAGACTCTATTGGATCCTGCTTGAGTCACTTGACGCTCGCCGGGTGGGTACCTGACAGATGACTGCTTGGATCTCAAAGCGGACGCTCGCCGGGTGGGTACCTGACAGATGACTGCTTGGATCTCAAAGCGGTCCGTCTCCATAAATTATGGGGACGTCAGTCCATTCTTTAATTAATGCGTCAAAACCTGTATTAACACGTTTTTAGATCACTACCATAGAAAATAGCTAGCCAATGTTGGTCAGAGCGAGTTTTGTGCCGGGTAATCAAGCTTCATTGAGAAAAAAAGGCTCTTTCATGCATAGCTAGCTTTCGAATAGCTCCCAGCTAGATTTTTGGATTAAAATTTCAAACTTTCTTCCAGCTTCGGTTATTCTACTAGCCAACTGATCCAGTGCTTTATATTGAAGTTCTGCGCTGCGGAAACACCCTGTGGCTTCTTACGGTGTCAGACGAACGACACAAATAATCATTGTTTCAATAATTTGCTAAATTAGTGTTCAACTCTATACAGCTGCCCAACAACGGAAATAAACGATTTTTTCTTAGATGATCGAGCGTACTTGAGGCTGTTATAAAAGTTTTATTCGTCTATCGTTTCGCTGGGCGCGTGTGGCGTAGTGGTCGAAGGCGCCCTACAACACACGTGGAATCGATTCCCGCTTCCATGGCCCACCAAACCTTCCATCCCTCCGGAGTCTGCAAATTGGTACCAGACTTCTCTGGGAGGATAGCAGCACTAGCTCGATACATCGGTAGGTCTCCGTGATTCATTGTAAAGATCACATATGCATTGAATCATCTCCAACGATGCTTAATGAAGTCGAATGCATGGCGTTTCCCTCAAGGACTGATCAACGCCGAGAGCTTTTATTTTTACTTTATCGTCTCGATATTCTCGAATTCTTTCAGAGCCGGAATGATTCGACCAGATTGTCCACAGATACGCCACGTGATAACTGTTCTAAACTATATGTATTGCTACTATGGAAGCAGATCAATATACCATATTGGATGGCAGTAGATCAACAGTCATTCTGCAGAAAAAGACACGATGAGTGGGGATAGTTTATTCGAGCAGTGCTCCACTCCAGACTCAACTCGAAGCGACTACGAAGATTGTGACATTAGAAGATTAAATCGGACGGATTGGGACGTGGACGATGGATTCGAACTAGTGCGGCTCTGAAGAAGATAGACGTTGAGATGTCAACGGTATAAAAATCACAAAGGAACCCCGTGTAAGCTGAACAATCTTAGAAGGTATTGATTAACCCTAGAAATATATTGATTAGTAATGTCGAGGTTTAATGATAGTCGCTTTTGAAAATTAATAGAGACAAAAGTAAATTTTGTTGACTCATCGTAACATACGGAAATTCGGTTTAAACGCTTTTTAATTGATGAGTTTATTCGATAAATTACGTCCTGTATTAAATCGTCTTGACTGTTCTATAGGCCTAACTTATTTTGAAGAGATTCCACACAGAGCTTTAGAACATTTTGATTCTTTGCTGAGTTCTTGCTGTTATCAGAAAAGAAGCTCTTTACATTCCTCGCTCTCCGCTTCTACTGGTATTTAAGGCTAGTGATAAGTTTGCCGATGACATTATTTAAGAAGAGCTCTACGTCGGCTTTACTGAAGATAAACTTCATGATACCACAATCCGCTTTATTTCCAGTTATTTTATCCTACGAAGAACTGTTGTAGAAAAGCTATACCAGAGTTCCAGAAAGAAACTGCTTGACCAGCATTCAGCCACATTCACAAAGAACACGAAATTCATCAAGTAGCAGTAGAAGTCACATGCAAATTCTTTGAAGACTCTCATAGATGATGGATACGAGGAAACGAATTGAATCCAAGAAGTGCTGGAATCCACATATAGATCTGAAAAATAGGCCATGTAAAATAAAAAAAAGAATATAACCTCTATGATGCTGGGATATTTGCAGGACTCCGAACCTCTGGTGTCTGCAGTGGGTAACGAACACGCTATTTTCCTTTCCGGGGAGCAACGCGTTCACGACCACACCATGCTGGTCCTTCGTTTCGCCTGTCTCTCAGCTAGTTTTATTCTATAGAGCTTATGTTTCGCAACATACCCTGGGATTGAGAAGAGTAGGCAGTAAATAAAAGGGCTAAAATTGTGATTATAAGTATAGTCTCAGCTAAACTAGCGTCATTACCGATTTGAGCTCTCCAGATCAATCCCGCTGACGGGTGATTGCTGATGGCAATGATCGATAGCACTAGTTGAGAGGCAGGCAAAGTGAAGGATTCGCATGGTGCGGTGGTGAACGCGTTACTCCCCGGAAGGGACAATAGCGAGTTCGTTCCCCACCGTAGACACCTGCGGTCCGGAGTTTTGCAAATATCTCAGCCTCATAGAGGTTATATTTCATAAAATCCTCTACCATTAAAAAAGTAGGCAGTAGATGAAAAGGTTAAAAAAAGAAGAATACTTTTAGATACGACGAAGAAGACATGCGACTGCGGGCCATCGACTCCGATCATCGGCTCTCGTGAAGGCGAAAACTTCGAGACGTTAGCAGAATGAATCTTTCTATCAGCCTTGCATTAGATTAATAACCCAAAAAGGTATTAAGAAAGGATAATTTTTTTTAACACTTCTTACTTTCAGGTCATCTCTATACTATTGCATGATCATCGTGTAAATTCTTGATATTTATTAGTCATAATTTAACAACACGCACAAATAACAATAACATCCATAAACAGGCCCGTTTTGCAAAGATCTATGAAACACTCTTTTCTCTGTAAAGCACGTAATAGGAATATCATCAGTTATGTAGAATATTATCGAAGAAAAACTCCACTTTAACCAAAACAAAGCCAAGAAATGGTGGATGTACGAAATAGGTGAACCGGCTTGGATCCTAGAATTCTGTTCTCGGTATGAAGCATTCCCATTAAAAGTCCTTTCAAAAGACAAAACTGCCAACATTCTTGCCTAGGTAGCACAAAATGAAAGAAAATTTGGCTTTTTCCCAATGAGATCGATATAAAGAGCAAATATAGCATTAGCCATTCAACTGTTATTCTAATATAAGCTTAATAAGTTAGCAAATTCAGTGATCAACGGGCACATAGTGCACCTAACTTCATGTGGGGAAGATTGTAAGCTGTATTCTTCACAGCTTTGAAATTAGTCATCTAAAGAGCTCTGCAATCCTCTTTGCTCTTCTCAAACTTCATCCACTTCTTCAATCACTCTTTCTGATAACCGAATTCCTTCTAAAAGCGAAATCGATGCCTTAACACTGTAGTCACAATATCTTCAATTTGTAACAACAAGAAACTATGTGCTTGTTGCAAGAGTTCAGTAACTTCCTCATCAGTGGATCTTTTTTAGACCTGGTCAAGTAATGGCTTTCGTTTTTCCTTAATAGTTGCGTTAGAATATTGTCCGGCACTATGTTCTTCACGAAGCGGGGCGATTCTCCATAGTAGACGATGCAGCACGAAGTACCGGATTTCAGGAATCCTAAAGTTAAAAATTAAATATTGTTTTCTACTGCCCTGCTTTCTTTATAGATTCTTGGCAAGAAAACATAATCTTATATCAAACTGAAGACTGGGTTTAGCCTAAGAGCCTACTTTTTGAAATGTAACAATGGATTGTTTACGAGCACGTTCACCCTCTCCATGCTAATTAGGCCCTTCACCACTTGTGAGACCAAAAATTGATCTCAAACTTGAATGAGAATGATGAGATAGTAATTTTGGTTGGCCCATTGCCTAAACTCAATTTAGGGCCACATCTTGGGCCAATATTTCGATCAACTTATAATTATATTCGCAGCTACGAATGGAACCGAATGCGAATTGCAAAAGCAGCATAAGAGAGATGATTGAATCTATAGTTGAGTTATACAATCACCAGCAAAGGTGTACATATGTGCCACGTCGATGCTTTTTATTCTCTTAGACAAATCTGGCTGTGATTTACCAACTTCATTGTGGAACTTGGTTATCCCCGGGCGCGAAAGCGAACCTAGGCTGTTTGTACTGCAAGATACTTCAAATCAGTACTCTATACGCCCCGGAACAGTTCACTGTTTTCATAATTTCTACTTTATCTTCATATACTCTATTTAATAGCTGTTTCCTACAAAGAGTAACAAAGTCTGACCTCGTTGCATAAATTATCGGATTATTAAGGGATTTGACCATAATGTTGATCAGCACCACGATTGATAGCACGTTTACCAGTACTCCAGATTTTCGATGAAGCGGCATTCCGTCCGCGGTAAGCAAGAAAAGTATACTGGCCGGAGTCCACCCAATCAGGAACGTCCCGAAGATCAGCGTCGCAGTTACTACCGTCCGACGACCACGTGCCGATGCAGCCAATGTGGTTTTCGAGCGCACCTGAAAATGCATAAATGATGAATCTTCGTGTTGTCAGAAGAAAACTGCTCCTTTTAAATGCTTAAATGAATCCGTGACAATATGAGTTACTGTTATCAGGCAAGTCTTGAGTCCCAGATGTCGTAAGAGAAGAGCCCCTTCACTAAGTAAGAAAATTCACTACAAATTCATTAAGTCAGTAAATTCAATTTACTTCATCAATGGTTGATAGCTGTTGTGTGTCGTATATGATTTACGACCACAAGCAACAAGTTGGTGAAGTTTTTTGTAGGAGGAGAATTGACAGTTTCGTTCACTCGCACTTATTTACCGAGATTCTCGATTTCCTCTCTGTATTTTCCTATCATTCCAGTTATTTCTTACTCTTCCTCACTCCTCTACTTCTTTCTCTCTATATTTTTACTGTTTTCTAAGACGAAAACGATATACTGCAGTATTCATGTGTTCTTTACGCTGTCTCTACAGCAGTTGGCTTTGCTTACATCTCCCTGAAATCCAGTTAATCGTTACTCCAGTTGGTGTTTTTCTGAACGTTTATACCTTAATGGAATTAAAGTGCTCTAAGCTACTTTGTTCCCAACGCTTTTCTCATGCTTTCAATTATTTTGATGCAGATTTCGTTAATGATTTCAGTGGAAGACCTTAAGAGAATCTCTCCTCAAGTACACCTTCGTTAGACTTTGTAAAATACACCATTAATAAATTTTGATCATATAAAACACTTTTCTAGAGAAAATCGTCAGAAACCATAAAGTATTGCTGGACATGAAATTGGCTTCATGATCACCATTCATTTCTGTATTTAAGCCAGGCTATTTAATACTTAACATTGAAACTAAAGCTTTATACTTCCTCTCTATATTTCCCAAACGATTAATCACATATTGTATTTCGCGGGCGTACAAGCATATAATCCTTTATACCATTAAGGTATTGAGTTGACATCTTTTTTCACGAGTCCCTTATAAACGCCGAGCAGAACGTCTTTTAGAGCGTTACCGCAAGCAGTCACTGGCTTCGTATACTCGGAAAAGACTTTTCCGGACGCTGGCAAGCCCTAGTATTAGTCATCATAGTCCCGTTATTTGTCTTCGTCACGCTTCCCGACCAGCAGGTCGGTCTCGTTTTAGTATAGTTTCAGTGATGTGCAGCCAGAATGAGCGGCGAACACAAAGCGCAGTTCGGCATCCAGTAAAATCTCAGCGATTACGAATGTAAAAAAGCGCTCGTAGTTAATCCCCACGTCTGACTTTCTAGTAACCTCGGCATTGATTGAGCAATTCTTTCTACTTCTGTTCGGCAAACACGAGGTTTCAATTTATTTCTTTATTTATTTACGTACAAACTGACGTCTCGACGGATTTCGCCTTTCTCAGAGCCAGGAAAGGTCAAGCTGACAGCAATCTATGGCCAAACGCCTCCATAACCAAACAAAGAAAACGCTAAACCAAGATTTCAATCACATTGAACACAGCTCTGTCTGCACACTCACCCCTTTCTATGAGTCTTCCACTGAGTGTGTCGCGTGAAGACCAACCGCACAAGATTCATATGGAAGCGTAATGTGCCTCTCCCATCAGAATAACAAGTTTGTATACTGTCCAAAATCACGCGTGATAATGAGGCATTCCTCCCTGCGGTTCATTTTCGGATTTCTGGAATTAATCCAGAACGCCTCGAGAGTTTTGCGCGCTTGTGTTCTCGATTCCTGTGTGAGGATCGTGACACGTACTTCAAAGTCCTCCCCATTATGTCTCTGGGTCCTATGCGTGCCTAGCGGGGTATTTGGCCTATGTTTGCCGGCTAGGTGTTCTTTTATGTGGACACAGAGTGGTCTGCCCGTTTCGCCAATGTATTCGTCTCCGCACGCCTTACAGGAGATCAGATAAACTATACCCGAGCTCATGCAATGATAGTTAATGTTTTAATGATTGTTTGACTGATAGTTAATGTTTTTTTTATCATTGCTAGCATCAGTAACAGAGAAACCGTAAGAATAAGTCACCATAAAAAAACAAAACTGCTTAGTTTATGTGCATAGTAGGCTGGAACGCTACCAGTGACGGGGAATTATTAGCTGATAAGAGAAAGGTAGCGTGGGTCGCGCTGTCTACGTCGACGACCCAGCCTGTCCAAGAGCCCGTTCTATCCTTCCGAGCCAGCCAAGCTTATTATCTTTCTGGGGTCAGAAAATTGGTACCAGGCTTGTCTGGAACAAGCTAACTCAGATTGTTGCACGCGGGTTCGCTTTAGTTAGGCTAACTTAGAATTGCAGAGAAAATTGACTCCACCAGAATTCAATGAAATTTGTGACGAAGATGGAAAATCCTCAAGCTGCAGCCGAACCCACAAGTAAGAAGTTAGAAAACTTTTGCGGTTAATGGATGAGAGAAAACGAATTGAATGCAGGAAGTGTTAGTGTCCGCACAGTGTGATACATTTGGTGTAACTAGCTGATAAATGTACTTTGTCGTCAACTCAAATATCTAGGACATCACTTTATACAGTGTTCTTTTGCATTGCTGAGAAGATTAACACGAAAAAGTGAGCGATTAAGTGATCACATCAGTGTTGATGCTGAGGCGTGAAAAAAAGTCGCAAACTTGGGTGCGTTCCAAGTCCGTGATTATTCTTTCCGGGAGCTCAAGTATTATCCACTACATCAACGACGACCGTTGTTTGCCTTTCTCTTACCCAGTTCGTTACCCCAACGCTACCAGCAGCAATCACCCGTCGACGGGAATGATCTAAGGAACACATATCGGTGCTGAACANAGTTAAGATGAAAGTGCAGTCGAAATCACATTGCGATTAAGCGGTTAGTTATCCTGTGATATTGTCACCCTAAATATTCATATGTCTCATGGATGCGTGCACTGGTTTCTTTTTCATGTGGCTAGGTGAACTACGTATAACTTTAATGATGCTGAGATATTTGCAAAACTCCGGACCGTAGGTGTCTGCGGTGGGAAACGAACTCGCTATTGTCCTTTCCTGGGAGTAACGCGCTCACCACCACACCATGCGGGTCCTTCGTTTGGCCTGTCTCTCAACTGGTTCTGTCGATTATTGCCATTAGCAATCACCCGTCAGCGGGATTGATCTGGAGAGCCCAAATCGGCAATGAGCCCAGTTAGCTGAGGCTGTAGTTATAGTCACAATCTTAACCTTTCTATTTACTGCCTACTCTTTTTAATGCCAGGGTATGTTGCGAAACATAAGCTCTATAGAATAGAACTAGCTGAGAGACAGACTAAACGAAGGACCAGCGTGGTGTGGTGGTGAACGCGCTACTCCCCGGAAAGGACAATAGCGCGTTCGTTCCCCACCACATACAGCTGCGGTCCGGAGTTTTGTAAATATCTCAGCATCACTAAAGATATATTTCGCAATATACCCTGCCGTTAAAGAGAGTAGGCAGTAAATAATAAATTAAAATTGTGAACTACGTATGCTTAGAAATTCTTAGCTAAATATTCTATGATAACTCGGTGAAAAACTTTCATGAGGAAGCCAACTCATTAATCAGTCGGCTAATTCTACCGTAATTAATAAATGAACGAAGAAACGAAAGCATAAAAGAAATTCTCACAACACACGGCTCAAGCACACCAAAAATTAAGTGAATCTGTTTACTCAAAAGGCACGAAGCTATCATCTCTTCTCTTTGGAGTTTTTTTACTACCTTTCGTGTGAAAATAGCTTCCCTAGGCCCTTTTGGGACCGAAGTTCATCTCGGGTTCAAAATTTCGAACTCTTTCCCAGCTTAGATAAACCTGTTCGATGGTGAACTCCTCGTTGTACATCGTAAGACACCTACGGAAGTGCATCAGTCGATATGAAGTGGAGCAACAAAAGTTTTCAGTAATTAATTATCTCTTAGCCCTTTGCTATTTATTGTATTAAAACCCACATAGCACATTTTGACACCCTTCAGATAAAGACAGTGGTCTATGAGTTTAGTTCAGTCTTTTTTCTTCAAAAGTACACTTCATTGAGAAACATTGTGTGAGTCAAGTAAATAAAAATTTATTAATAAAATCTCCTTCATTGCTCTCTCCTTTCAATCAAATAGCTTGACGAGATTAGAGCTTTCAGTTGCAAGAAACTCTAGGCTAAAGTGAGCATCTCGATTGCGTCTCTTATTTTCTTAAGAAATATATATTTCTTACCTCGCTAACCTTTGACAACATTTTCCAGTAGAGTACACTTGTCGTAATCATCAAGACGATTATTATTAGTGAGATTTGGGCGCGAAAATAGAGATTCTCGTAGAATGCGATGCCAATGCAGGCTTCATTCCTAAGAAAAGAATGGCACTTACATAAAGAATAATGTAGGACAGAGAAAAAGAGTTGTCGAAATGCAGAAGAACTTCAAAGAATCCTAAACACTTAGTCAGCAGTGTTATCAATGCGAAATATACATTATTTGGAAGCTAGAGAGCTTTCACAAAAGTAAATAAGACCTTAAGGAAAAAAGATAACGAAAAGCTTCCGATGAGCTTTAACCTGGAAGTATTTTTACTGTAGTAGTGGACAGAAATGTTATGAAACGATAAAAAGGGAACAGAAAGAAAAAATGGCATTCAAGCTGCATTTTCAAATTTTTCTTTAGAAAAGGTCAACAAGTGGTTGGAAATCACATTTAAATCACGCTCTGATTTACCATCTGCAACATTGTTGATAAATGATGTTCGGAGTGAAGATCAGACTGCGATGTAAAGTGTATGGATGCTTTGTTATTGGGTTACTCAAACTAAGCAATTAAATACCTTCGCCTGGAAGCTGGGATAAGTCGACAGCAAAATCAGTGGTCGAAACTACTGTTGCCTTGGTAGCAGTCTGTTAGGACGCACGTAATTCTTCGTTAAGGAGGCTTATCTAGTGAGTTCACATAAAGATTTAAGTAATCCTTAGAAATCCAATTTTTACTTGAGGGTTTCGACAGAGTCTAGTCGTCATTCTTAGGATGTCAGTGTAAATCGTTAAACAAATGGGAACTTCAGAACGTTTTACAACAATGTGAAATCTGACACACGCAGCAGTATTTATAGATACCTTGCATACTTGATCGTTGGTTCTACACCGCTGTCCAGGAGAACCATTCCCGGAATCCCTTGAGGCTCGGAAAGGTCTGGTTATATCAAGCTCGACTAGGCGAATAGAAAACATTCACATCATGCATCGGTAGGCTACCAAAATTTCTATAGCCAAAATATGCAGNCAATGTGAAATCTGACACACGCAGCAGTATTTATAGATACCTTGCATACTTGATCGTTGGTTCTACACCGCTGTCCAGGAGAACCAATCCCGGAATCCCTTGAGGCTCGGAAAGGTCTGGTTATATCAAGCTCGTCTAGGCGAATAGAAAACATTCACATCATGCATCGGTAGGCTACCAAAATTTCTATAGCCAAAATATGCAGTAAGCCAACTAAGTGGTGATACGAATGGAATGGAATGCATGGAACATCTCTAAGGGATTGACCAACACCCAACACTTTGCCATTTATCCTTAACTTTTCTTCGGATCGGTTTACGATAATGGCCGTTTTATACTAGTGAAAAACCTGTATCGGTTCAATCTAAATTTCGGTGGCACGCCGTGGCCATTCATACTGATTTAATTAGATTTGATTTAATTAATGGAGTTAATGAATTATTCGGTTACCTTTGTTATCTGTTTTTGTAGTATATTCTACCACTTTTGTCGGTTTTTATGACAAAGGTTTCTAGAAGTTTTCAAGGAAAGCTGGAAGAGGTAGCAAATGGTAAGTTTCCAAAGCATCAGTACCGTAATAAAGATCTAGACAAAAGAAGTAACGTAGACGGACGATTCCCACTTTCATTGGGGCTTTTTAAAATTGTGCCTAATGAAAAACATTCGGAGCCTTCACTGCTGAAATTTTGTTGAACAGTTATTAGTTACAGCGATTTTTTTTGTAGATAATGAAGAAAAACACTTTTTGACAACATATAGTAGGTAAGTAAATTGGAATAGTAAAAGGGATAAAGGATAAGGCTCTCGGTGATGATCAATCCCTGAGGGCTGCGTCATGCATTCGACTTCATTAAGCATCGCTTGAAGGTAACTGAATGCACATCTGGCATTTAGAATGACTCGTGGTGGTCTACCGATGTAACGAGCCAGTACTGCTATCCTCCCAGACAAGTCTGGTAGTCTGGTACCAATTTGCCGACCCCGGAGAATTGGAAGCCTTGGTGGGCCATGGGCGCGGTGATCGATTCCACGTGTTTGTCGCAGTGGCGTCTCCAACCACTGCACCACACACGCCCTTTTTTGGTATAGTAAATAAATGAATTAGTGAAAAACAGTAATACAGAAATTTTGGCCCCACATCTAACACGCTTTCGGGACGGACTGTCACAGTCGCATTTGAGTAGTCAATCTCCTACTGCATCAAACAACCAAACATTATTTTAATAAATAAACCTCACTAAAACAAGTTATCTGAAACCTTTCAGGCTTGAAAACCTCTAGAAAAAAAGTAGCCAATTAAAGATCGAGGCGGACAAAAAGTTTTCATATAGTTCCTCTATCAAAGAAGTCAATTAAGCCGACGAAGTTCTTAACTTTATGGTCAATTAAATCTTATACTTATCCTGAGAGATTCAATAAGCTATCTATGAGTATATCTGACACTGCAAAATGTAAAAAACTACAGGTGACAACGTGTCACAGAGCAGTAGAGGCAAAGGGTCTGTTTTAACGCCTTTCATCATCTAAGACCCATTTTCAAAATGCTAGTGGGTGGATAGCACAGTGGCAATGATGCCGGCCATCACGAGCACGGTGTTGGCTCGATTCCGTTCCAGGCTCACCAAATCTATCATTTTTCTGAGGTCTGGAAACTGGCTGGCAAAACTTCTTAAAATCTAGTGGGCTTGTCTGCAAAGAAATCGTTATCTGGAATCCAGTTGGGAAAACTGAAAAAAGCAGGGCTATCTCAGGATTCCAGTGACAATCGAGTCCACCAGAATTCTATGACATTCAACGATGAAAGGGAAATCCTGAATTTGCACCAAAGCCACATGTTTGCGAAGTTCCTTAGGAACGACTAATCCTTCTAAGGTTATTACGACCGACTTCATCGTTTCATCGCAATGAAACGTCATATATATACGTCAACATCCGGATCCAAAGAACGTCATGAGAAAACGCAGTATGGGAGTCTAGAAGATCACCATGATGGCCATTCCTCTTCAATGGCTTTTGAAATAAAGGAGAAAATTTTTCCAAACCACTGCGTTATTTCCTTGCCGACAAAACAATTTCACTCGAAGACGATAAACTTATCCACTGAAGCACACGAATCTAGCAACGCTACTTTTGAACGAAAACACTATTCGCTATTGGTTAGCTTGTTAGCGGATATTGATTCTCCAGATTTCATTGCAGCCTGCTTCTTCTTGAAAAGAATCCTTCATTGATGGAAATTTTAAGCCACAGATAAAGATTTTTTCGGTAAATACTGGCAAGTAATCGATAATTTCGACATTCGAGATCTGCATTAAACAATTACGGTACCTTAAAAAACTGAAAAATATTTCGTTTTCTAAGGAAAACGAAAGAAAACATTTTCTATGGATTGAAATTGCCTACAAGTAATTATGTAGAAGATTTGAATATTAAGAAGACATTTTGTTTTGGTTAATCACTTGAAAGTTCGCCATGCATTGGACCCAATCGTAGCGTGTTAGAGGTCATTGAATGCGTCATTGTAGCCATACAGTAACTTGTGATGGTCCACCAATGTGTCAAGTCAGTATTTTTATCTTTCGAGGCGGCTCTGGTACCAAATTAATGTTTCCAGAAGGATGGCAGTCTTAGCCCACCAGGAGCACTAGATTAGGCCAGAAGACGAAAAACCCTCCCATATTGCAAGGCATCTCACACAACTGTTACACGTACTTTATCAATAAAACATAAGGAAAAAATATTTAAAGCCCATACCGATATCCTTGCTCAGGCCAACTGCTGAAGTAGATGAAAAGACTGAGTGGTGGAACCGCCCAGATGAAAAATATGACCAGCTATAATATTAGCACGTTGACATAAACAAACGAGGTAGGATAAAACGACAAAAGCACTGGAATCTACCTGTACGGTTNGTCCACCAATGTGTCAAGTCAGTATTTTTATCTTTCGAGGCGGCTCTGGTACCAAATTAATGTTTCCAGAAGGATGGCCTTAGCCCACCAGGAGCACTAGATTAGGCCAGAAGACGAAAAACCCTCCCATATTGCAAGGCATCTCACACAACTGTTTCACGTACTTTATCAATAAAACATAAGAAAAAAATATTTAAAGCCCATACCTATATCCTTGCTCAGGCCAACTGCTGAAGTAGATGAAAAGACTGAGTGGTGGAACCGCCCAGATGAAAAATATGACCAGCTATAACATTAGCACTTTGACATAAACAAACGAGGTAGGATAAAACGACAAAAGCACTGGAATCTACCTGTACGGTTCTGAGAGAGAGTATTTTCTGATGATCAAATGGTCGTTGAATCTGAAGGTAGTGTGCAACAGCTAACGCGACCAAATGAATAATTCCGGTCAAAAGCCCACCAGTACGAAACGCCTAAAAAGTTCGGTGCGTTGGTGAAGAGTCAAAGAACAAAAGAAATTTTTTGGATAACTGCCAAATTTCATTTCAACAACTGATATCTGAGGACATTAATAAAAAAAACAACGCTAACTTTTATTTGCTGTCTACTACAATTTTTCGAGACGGCATAAAGCGAAATACAACCACAACGGAGNAAGAAATTTTTTGGATAACTGCCAAATTTTATTTCAACAACTGATATCTGAGGACATTAATAAAAAAAAACAACGCTAACTTTTATTTGCTGTCTACTACAATTTTTCGAGACGGCATAAAGCGAAATACAACCACAACGGAGAAAATATATAGACGAGAATAAAATATACTTGACTTACTTACTTGATGCTTAAACCCCAGCACAATCGCCATTTTTTGGAAATTTGCTGGTTAAGTCATTGCGGTTCCCTGGAATCCCGGGGACAGCTTGGCCAAAGTCTGCCCCAGGTCGTTACCACCACGGGCGGTCGAAGCCCCTGCGAATCAGAGGGAGATTTGCCACCATGCGACTTTGATAGCAGGACGGTGGTGAATCCTGGTATTGGTTTACTCTTAGGTAGGCTTCCTGATGGAAACGCCGAGCTCCTTCTCAGCTAAGGAGACGCTGCCGGGGGGAAGAATCACCCCACTGTACATCGCAGTCCGACACCCAGGAACACTTCTCAGCCACGATGTGGTGGTAAACCGTTGGGAGGTTAAAATAAAATATTAATATAACAAATATAAAATATAGCAAATAAAATATAAATATAATAAAAAACAATATCAAGGAGATCTCCTATAAAGTCTTATATGACAAATATTGGAAAAAATAGAAATGATCTTTGCTCGCAAAAAATCACATTTGGACGTTTTCATTAATTTGTGGGATCGACTTGAAACGCGGTATCTTAAAAGCAATTTTTGGTTAGAGGGGTGGCAACAGCAATAAAAAATTTTATGAGCATCAAAGGAAGACTGCGATTGGTCTTATGCACAAAATGGCACATTTACTAACCACCAAAGGAAGACATTTAGAAAGTCGTCCAGCAATCAAAGACAGTGGCGCCAGCAGTTGAAGCCTCTTTGATGACCTCTTTGATGAGGGCAGATGCTGGCACTAATGCTTCACTTAAATCCTACGATGCTAAAAGAATTCCGAGTGAAAGAAAGTTCATGGAAGGCCTTTTTCATCGAGCGGGAGAACGATAGCAGTTGGTTTTGCAAGATTTGTTCACCTGCCACAACTTCATTCGTTGGTATATTTATCCCTTATTGTTCTCTACAACCACCGTATTCGTTGACGAAAGTCAAGGGCTTTACTATTGGATTTACTTGACGACCAAGATGATGGAGAAATACTAAGAAATCAAAAACTTTCCTGAAATGTAGGTGGCATTCAGCCGACCACCTATAAACATTTCACTGTTAGCGGTGTGAAATCCGTTCCAATATACAAGCCCTTAATACCTAAGCTCTACTCTTTACTCTTACACACTGCCTCACAACAAGGGTGTACAAGAGTCTCGCAGCTGCTCCATCATCAACAATAGTGAGGAAGAAATAATCAGCCTCTTATAAAAGGGCTGGTAAATATCATTATCAACCTCGTGTTTACTCATTAAGAAAGAATACATTTGATTAGTCTCACCGAGGTTAAAGGAAAGTCGGTTTCGAAATATTACTATGCTTTGTACTAGCTGTTAATAACACCGACTTCTCCATGATGCATTGTCCGGAAGAAAAACAAATTGTTATCACCAGACATTATCATTATATCGACCATCAGCATCGTGTATAAAAGGGCATCACTGAGTAAGGATGCCTCATACGAGGAGATGGCTCACTGAAGAAGACCTGACTCGACACGAAGGCAAAGCTGCCACGTCGAGACGAATAACAAGCGTGGACCATCGGCTCAGATTATCGGCTCTGAGCAGGACAAAGACGTCGAATCATTAGCGGAAAATAAATATCATTATCAACCTCGTGCAAGCTAATCAAGAAAGGATACATTTGATTAGTCAGATTGAGATTAAAGGAAAGTCGGTTTCGAAATCTTATAAAAGGAGCGATGCTGTTCTACCCCTTCGAATAAATGAAGTCTAATTAGTAGCTTTAAATGAGTTTTTGATGATAATTATGATACTTTCAGAATGATTTGTTGTTCTGACTTATTGTAATGCTTTATTGCTAAAAGTAATGTCGAGTTGGGCTGAGATTTTTAACAGACTTTCGGGTTTTCGTTACCAAATTTTAGCTCATTCTCCTCGTTCTTTCAACTTGCTGCAGAAAATGAACCACTTAGAACCCTCGTTCGCCTCTATTATTAGAATCTGCAACATTGGTTTTGCTGATTGCTTGAATCCTTGCTGGATCATTGATTTGTCTAATTGAAGAACCGAAATCTGTGTGCGACTTAAGTTAGTAGTCGCATAAAGGCTAAGTATAAGTCGCCGTTGGGCACTTTAATATACCCTAATGCTCAGTTGATCTCAAAACGAGCGTGAAAGATCTTTTAGCTCAGTAATTCAGAAAACAATAGCAGAACATTGTAAAATATAACTTCAATGATGCTGAGATATTTGCAAAACTCCGGACCGCAGGTGTATGCAAGCAAAACGAAGGACCCGGATGTTGTGGTGGTGAAGTGCGCTACTCCCCGAAAAGGGCAATAGCGCGCGTTCGTTCCCCACCGCATACACCCGCGGTCCGGAGTTTTGCAAATATCTCAGCATTACATACGAGTTATATTTTGCAATATACTCTGCCATTAAAAAGAAAAAGTCAGTAAATACTACGTTAAATTGTGATTAATAGCAGAACAATTTAACGAAATTAACGAATGACATTCTCCAAATAACTTCAACAAATGTATGAAAAACCGAGAACGTTATTTTTGTCGTTTTTTTTGTTTGAAAGTGAATCAAACGAAAAGGAGAAGCTTTAAGTTTTTCTCTTGAGAAAAAGTGTCACAATTTAGAAGAGCTGAATACGAATTAGCATTTAGACGTCGTTAATGAGCACCTAGTTTACCTCTTTTTGCTGTGCTGAAGCATTATTGTTAACGACTTCGAAGTCCGATGGAATGTTAGAATAATTGCTAACCAGAACAACAAAGAGGACTTTTTTTAAATGCATTTTAAGGAATAAAGTCGAGTTGAGTCGAATTGAGTAACAGTTGAGGAGACGTCTTACTACGGTTGTTGATCGATCGCAGGTGAGATCGCTATACACTGTACTACTTCTAGCACGAATAAGAAACACCGTATGGTGAACATTTAGCTAGAAATTGTACAGAGATTCCCGGTCTTTTAAAAAATACGCTCACACTATGATTATCCGAAAACACTAAAACTATCCAAAAATTCTGAAATTCAGGGGCAAATAACACAGTAGTATTGATGACGCTTATCACGAGCACATGGTATTAATTCGATTACGCTCCTTGCCAACCAAGTCTTTCATCTCTCCAGGGTCGGAAAATTGGTACCGGACTAGTCCGGGAAGAAATCACGCTCTGCATTCCAATTGGGAACGCTCTAGGCAACGTATCTCAGAACCACAGCGAGAATCGACTAGGCCAGCATTCTACGATATTCAAGACGAAATGAAAATCCTCAAGCAACAACCGAAGCCGCACGTAAAAGTTGGGAGATCTTCGTGAACAATGGATACGTTGAAACGAATCGAATGTGAGAAGTACTGGGATCCATACTATAGACGTAAAGGAGACCCATTTTAAAAAAATAAGATTAAAAAATAATTTTAAAAGTTCAGTCAACAAATTGACAAAATTATGAAGTCATAATATAAATAAGAAGGTGAAATCGTGTTAAATCANCTTCGTGAACAATGGATACGTTGAAACGAATCGAATGTGAGAAGTACTGGGATCCATACTATAGACGTAAAGGAGATCCATATAAAAAAATAAGATTAAAAAATAATTTTAAAAGTTCAGTCAACAAATTGACAAAATTATGAAGTCATAATATAAAAAAGAAGGTGAAATCGTGTTAAATCATTTAGAGATTTAACTTATGTTTTCGTCGAAAATATCCATCTGCTTTCAGCTACATCTTGATAGAAAGTTGAAATTAAGTTAAACTGTAAAAAGCGAAAAAAAAAAGAAGAAAAAAACAAAAAAGGAAACCTCTAAGGTAAGTGGAAAACAATACGATGTGTGTGGTATCTGTAGAACCACCGGCTTATAGGAATTCCAGCACAGTGAAATTGCTATCACAACACTGGTCCATGTATCGGAAAGTGCTAGCGAATAGGTAAGCTCAAGAGTAGCCGATCTTGACTTCACATAGAATCGTGACACAAATACAGCAATGTTCAGTACTGCAGCCAGTACACATAGTATACCAATACCAGGAATACAGATCTCATAAAGAAATGCTTTCACATCAGTCATCTGAAATGAGTACGAAAGTACGCATAACGAAAACGGTGGTCCGGCAGTGTTTCGTAAACAGAATGGGTAGGACGATGCAGCAAGACTACAACGGAAAAGAGAAATTTGGAATCATAATCACAGTACAAGCTATGAACGATTCAAATGTAAGGAAAAAATCTAGTGCAAAATGTGGACAATCAAAACAAATTTGTGACCATAATGGTGCTGAGATATTTGCAAACTCCGGACCACAGGTGTATGCGGTGGGGAACGAATGCGCGCTATTGTCCTTTCCGGGGTGTAGCGCAGTTGACCACCACACCATCCGGGTCCATCGTTTTGCCTGTCTCTCAGCTAGTTCTATCGATCTTTTGCCATCAGCAATCACCCGTCGGCAGGATTGATCTGGGGGGCCCAAATCGGCAACGAACCCAGTAAAGAAAAACTGACTTATTTCCATGGAAAGATTTATCGAAAAAATGTCAGAGAGTATGCAAAACTGCTAAGGGTAGAAAGTTTTTTTTCCATTTTTTATCTATTCTTATCAGCATCTAAGAAAAAATGACGGAGAATGGCTGGAATTAAAACGATCGTAGGAAAGCGTAGAGATTCCGGGTGGCTCAGTTTTAATTAAGCACTAAAAAGGTACTATCCTATCTGAGAATTTTCGTGCTCCGAAGCCCTGAGGAAACTTTTACAGAGCTTCTCTTTAAAGCGATAGGACACTTATTCAGCGACTAACGTTTTCACTTTGTGCGACCTGTCCTTCACATCTCCTCTGCGGATCTCAGCACTTCATCATTCACGAAGGTCTTTCAACTTTTACGTGTAGCTTATGTTGTTGCTCGAGGAATTCTGTTTCATACTGGATGTCTTCAAATGCTGCTCAGATCCCTTTTTCCTAGAGTCCCAGGATAACCAACGTAAAGCGTTTCTACTTGGATTACTGGAAATAATCCTTTTCCCGAACAAGTCCAGTACAAATTTCCTGACCTCGGAAAGATGAGAGGCTTGCAGAGCCCGGCGCAGGATCGAAGCACAACCGTACTCGCGATGACTGGCATCCCTACCACTGTGCTATCCGCACTCCCGACTAATGTTAGAGTAGAAAACAAGTCGATAAATGAAAGCCAGCATAAAATAACCATGTTATACGCCATCAGTCGCTTCCTTAAGCAAACTCATCGGATGCTTATTAGAGAATGAAACTTTTCAGATAACGGCATTCATGATTAGATCGTCTTAAAAATGTAGGCCGTAGTTGGTGGGCTGGCGAATACTTGTAGCTGCTTGGGACAAGTTTTTATTTTTCTACGATTTTTTTCGACCAATATTTCTGTTCATTTGACTGGACAAGAATGCTCACATTCTACTACGTTAAAAATGCTAAAGAATTGTAAACTTGTAAGCATTAACGATTCGCAACGTGTTTATGAACGCAATTCATTTAAGAAGTACTCATGAAAGAAAAGGTGAAGGAAAAATAGGGTTTGGAAGAACGTGGTGGTTGGGTATAAACTGAAACCTGGTGATTCATACAGTGAAAAAGAAATCGGATCCCGTAACCAGAATAGTAGCCACTATCGGAGTAGGTAGGTAGAGTAATACTTCTGACGTATTCATGTTTACTACGATATCTACGATATCTGTTTCGAGTTAATACAGAGGATCTTGTGTGACATCAGTAAAGATATCCGATGAAAGTAGGGCACCGTCCGTCTATTTTCCTTCTTCTCACGGAACAAGCAATACTTTCTTGGAAAAGGAAGAATTTCACTTAGGTGCTCGTCATTGCCAAAAGATCATGTACGTGGAATTATGAAAGTAGCATAAGGAATAAAACACATGGGAAAACATATTCTGGGATCACACAGTGCTTTTTTCAGGGTATACTGTACGGCGGACTCTGAATCGGTAGCCATAAACCCAGAAATCGATATCGCGATCAGCGAAGCAATAAAATGAAGAGCACACATGTCGGAAATCGTATAAAACAGAAAACAAAAGTGTTTTGATTCCCATATTACAGGATTGACGACGATCGACAATGACGAAAATGTTGCTAATTTTTTACAACTTTTTCATTTACTTCTTCAATTCTTTGTTTTGAGTAGGCTGTTGGAGTAATAGTAGTGATACCAATCATTATAAGCACGATGCTGGTTCGGATCCGCCCCGAACTCACAAGGCTTGTCTTCACTTTGGAGTAAATCGGTTCCGGACTCTTCCGGGAAAAACACACTCTTTGCAATCTAAGTGGGAACTTTCTTACCTGGTTATCCCTTGATTCCAGGGAAAATCAACTGGATCAGCACTAAGCGATATTAATGGAGAAAAGGAAATCCTCAGACTGCAGCCGAAAACACACGTAAAAGTTGGTAGGCGTTCGTGGATAACGAATGTGAGAAAAGTAATCGTATGTGAGAAGTGCCGAGATCCATACACTAGATGTGAAGAATGAATTGCGTGAAATAAAAAATAAATAAAAAATTTTTTGGCGATCTATATGCAAGAGAAGAAAAAGATGAAAGACGTTGGAGATACGAGACAGCACATTCCATTAAATAAAAGGAAAAAATGCTCCCTGACTTTTTTTTTGAAAACTACAAGGAAATCATGTGTTTTCGTCAAGGGAAGGAAATTAAACCACTGAACTAAACAGGACCATGAGAGAGCGTTAGTGGGCTTTTTCCAGCACTAGTAACATTGCGACGTAAAAGGCTGAAAAAAATCACTGGCAAGCGGAAATAAAAGAGAAGACGAAAGTGAAAAAAAGAAAGGAGGTCTTTCAGTGGGTCATAAACTTGCAGATGAACACTTTTCTACTTAATTTAATGAAAATAGGAGTTTTTTAAAACTTGAACTTGCTTTGAACTTCACGAAGAATGAAAATTTCCACAGTACTGAAGTAAAGAGAATATCATCTGCAACCCTATGATCTCGTTAAGTTCACTGAGTGGTCAAATACCCACCAAAAAAATTCGTGTTCTTTCTTGAAGTAAACGTGGTTCTTTTTTAAAGTAAAACCTGATCAAAGACACATACAGAATGCTTTTCCATTTATTTGATTACAGGCATTTGGAAGAGTTTATGTGTCAGATAAATTCTACCCGATTGAATTGGATTATCTACACACGACTAGTACGGTAATGATAGATAGTAGAAAGTGTCGTAAGCGTCCGTCTGAAAACGATTACGCCAGTAAAGTAATTCACATCATGACACAACTAGGTTTCGATGGGAAGTTTTTGCGACAACGTTGTCAAAACTGTTTCCACTTGGTTAAATAACATTTCTGATCAGCTCTACTATATCGTATTCAACAATTCATAGCCTCATGCAAAAAATTGCAATCATGATGAAAGAAATACGACAATAAGAGCGCAAGTGTTATTTCCATCGACAGAGGACAGCCAGTACTTGTTTTGAAAACCTGGAAACGCCTTACCAGGCTATTCTGGATTCTAAGGAAGACCACAATCGGCCACCATTCATCATGTCAATAAGGACGGCAAAGAACACAGATAGTGTCGGTTAGTTGGAAAAATGACTTTGGAGGTCTGCATTGTGTAATAAATGGAATTCACAAAGAAATACTTGCCTTAGCTGACTGAGAGACGAGAGTCGAACCACCAACATGTAGTCAAAAGAAGCGCACCTCCGTAAAAACCTATTTTCTGTCTTCTCAATGAGATTATCGACCAATTAGCAAGAGGCTGGTTTTGGACTCATCTTTCCTTCTCCTTCTCTGTTTTATGCTGCTGGTACGATTGCGAAAAATCTCTAGCTAAAGTAAAACCTTGCACGCTCAGATCTGGTCTGGCGGTAGGACGGAGTAGAAATACAAGTAACATGTCACTCACAACTGTGAAATGATCGCTACCATTGTTTCAAGCGAACAAAGAACGACTACAAAGAACGACTACAAAGAATGCTGTCCATTGCTGAATAAGCGTGTGAAAGAAAATCTACATACACGCCAGCGTATCCACAGCTATATAAATAAATCTGCTTGTGTGACATGACATGGTAAAATACAGAAGAAGAGAGAAACGCATTGGTAGTGATACTGTCAGGTCACGGTCATCCCAAAATTTCTGGAAGAGTCGATTCNAGCGAACAAAGAACGACTACAAAGAACGACTACAAAGAATGCTGTCCATTGCTGAATAAGCGTGTGAAAGAAAATCTACATACACACCTATATAAATAAATCTGCTTGTGTGACATGACATGGTAAAATACAGAAGAAGAGAGAAACGCATTGGTAGTGATGCTGTCAGGTCACGGTCATCCCAAAATTTCTGGAAGAGTCGATTCGATTATCATTGAACAACATTTACAACAAAGAACGAAATCATCGAACAGTGATAGAACCCACACGAAAAATTCGATGGCGTTCTGGGTGACAGATGCGAGGAAGCGAATCGAACACTAGAGGTTCTGGTGTGCACCCAGCAGATATGAAGGTGGTCCGTGTAAAACAAATGAAACACAAGTGATAATAAAGTATGAGTTAGTTCGATGCTGCAAATCAACAAATTTCATTCAACAAAAATACCTTTGCCCCAGCTACGAAAAGTAAGCAGCCCATTTCGGAGTGAAGAGTTTAGTAATATAATACAGAATAATTAACAGCAAATGAGTACTTTGTTACTTTATCGACTTACTACTATTCATATGCTTTCGGTTAAAGCATGCACTTAAAAAATCGAACGCTTCACTATATATCTAAGAAGTTTGACTGAGCAGTTGTGTGTGAATTTGTCCTATCAGGGCTCTGAGGAAGGTGAAACCGCCGAAATATTAATAAATTCTCCGATAACAACTTGTTTCCTCATCAAGAAAAACACTGAATATCTTAAAGTGCACCTTAACGAATGCACTTTACTTTTTAAGGCATTTATTAGAGATTTATTCCTACTCTTGGAGTATTAGCAAAGTGTAAATTGAGAATTTTTGCCGATTGTGAAGGAATATAATAGTGAGTATCCGGTTCTCAAAGGTGAAAAACCCG